GCCTCTCTCTTCCCTTTTTATAAAAAACAGCTTTATTGAGATATAATTCACATGCCATATAATTCACCCATCACCCATTTTAAGTCTACAGTTCAGTAGTTTTTAGTTTATTCACATATGTGTACAACCATAACCACAGTCAATTTTAGAACATTTTATCACTTCTAAAAGGAACCCATGGCCTTTAGCTGTCTACCCCCCTTCTTTCTCATTCATGTTTTGCTGTCAGAATAGACTATGATCTGAATTCAAATTTAAAATCATATAATGATTTCAGAGAACAGTATAAACTGAGGTATATAAAGGGTTGCTAAGAGCTTTAAAACTTTGACCCAACTGGAGAAGCAGAGGAGACCGAGGCCTAATACTTAGGGTCACTGTTGTAAAATCAACAGATAATACCTTCAGAAAACCTGTTAAGTGTCAATTCTTCCCTGTTAGAATCATCTGAAGAATAAAGGTTATTAAAATGGAATTGAAAAGGGAACGCGTGTAAATAGATTATAAGAGAACACCTATTGTTGCTAAATGATATTCTCCTGCCCCAGAAAAATCATATTCTGGGTTACTTAAAATTTGCATATGGGATGGTGAACTGCTGTCTGAAATCTCTGAGGCATTACTGAGAATGGGATCGTAACAGCAGACTAGAAAAGGTAGACTCTACTTAACATTGATACTGAATAAGCTTTCATGATGAGATTATTAGGAGGATGATTTATAAGCATTTAGAAAACAATGTATCAGTAGAAATTAGCACAGGATTAATAAAAGGATCATACCAAATTCATTTCATTTTCTGATAGGAAATAGGGAAGAAATCATATTTTTATTTTATCAAGGTATTTAACAAAAAGCCTTTTGAATATGATTTGAATGATGGGCTGATAATGAGATTAGTGGGAAGTGTTAAAATCTTCATTGCAGTGTCATTCACTCCAGTTTAAGAACATTTGGAAAGACCTGGCTTCAACAGATAGTGCCTGTGAAAGCCAAAGGTTAGTTCACTTAGAGCTCTCTCTGAGTCAATTATATGATACAATTGTAAAAATTCTTAAAGGTACTCTTGGGCTACATTAACATTTGCATCATTCCATGCAGAAGGGTTGGATAGGCTTAGAACATTAGCCTTGCCTTTCTTAGGATAATTTAAGAAAAATTTTCTGGAGTAGATGACAATTTAGGGAAGATAGGCAAGCTGCCTTCAAATAGGGGTCTTCAGGTGGATGAGATGTTAGAATGCCACCTGATCTGCAGTACAGACCCAGGGCCAGCAGACAGTGTAGTGAAGCAATGTTTGTCTCATTATAAAATTGTCTAACAGCTATCTGATTCTGAAATCTGCTAATACTGCATTACTGGATACTGGAAGTATTTAAGATGAAGCAATGTGATCATTTAATAGAAGATTAGAAGAAGGTTGTAGAAGGGAGTGCCATGGGACTAGATGATTCTTTAAGTACTGTTAAATGCTGGTGTTCTTTGAATCTATGCTAAGCAATCTCCCTGAAGTATTTCTCTTGTCATAAATGGCTTCACTTTGTCAAGGGAAAAGAACTCTGTGAAATAACTTAACGAGGTTTATTCTGAGCCAAATTTGAGGACCATGGCCCAGAGCCACACCCAAGAAGCCTTGAGCAAGTGGACTCACTGTGGTTGGGTGACAGTTTGGTTTTACGCATTTTGGGGAGATAGGAATTACACGTAAAGTCGTAAATCAGTACATGGAAGGCGTACACTGGTTTGGCCCGAAAAAGTGGGACATCTCAAAATGGGGGCTTACAGGTTATAGGTGGGTTTTAAGACCCGTTAATTTATAATTGGTTAAAGAAATGAAGCTTTCTGTAAAGGCTTGGAATGTTTTAAGTTAAGGAAGTCTGTTAATCAGAGACAAGCCACCTGCCATATACCCAGACTTAAGTAAATTGAGGACCTACAGGTTTGTCTTGTATAGCCTTAGGCCTGTTAATGATAGGATATCTACAAGAAGGAGGGGGGCATGATGAGGCATGTCTGACGTCCCTTCTCATGTCCAGCAGCTCAGTTTTAGTGCATCCCCTTGGCCAAGAGGGGGTCTATTCAGTCAGCTGAGGGGAGCTTAAGATTTTATTTTAGTTCATAACTTTATATAGGTTTTTCAGCTTTTGTTTTTTTTACATGTCTTTACTATTCTACTTGAGTCTCCTTTGTTGATTTATTAGCTATTAATATAAGTCTTTATTTTGGGTTTTGGTTTTAAGTGGTTGTTTTAGGACTTACCATATATGCCTTTAACTTAACTACAGTCTATCTTTAGGAAGTATTACACTGTTTCAGTTATTAAAAGAACCTTAATAACACTATACTTCCTTTACACCCCTTTAAACTACTATTGCCATATATGCTTGTTCCACATATGTCATAACCCCAAAATACATTATTATCTTTGCTTTAAACAGCCAAATCTCTTAAAGACATTTTTTTAAATTATACGGAGAAAATCTTTTATATTTCTTCACATTACTATCTCCATTGCTCTTCATTCCTTTGTGTATATACAGATTTTCATCTTGAAAAATTTTTCTTCTGCCAATAGGACTTCCTTAAACATTTCATATAGTACAGACCTTCTGGTGATGAAATCTTTTCACTTTTCTGTGTCTCCAAAACTTTTTATTTGCCTCTATTTTTAAAGACATTTTCACTGGGTATAAAATTCTAGGATGACAGTTTGTGTGGTGGTTTATTTTTTATTTTTTATTTTTTTTTTTTGAGACAGAGTCTCACTGTGTTGCCTGGGCTAGAGTGAGTGCCGTAGCATCAGCCTAGCTCACAGCAACCTCAAACTCCTGGGCTCAAGCAATCCTACTGCCTCAGCCTCCCGAGTAGCTGGGACTACAGGCATGCGCCACCATGCCCGGCTAACTTTTTCCATATATTTTTAGTTGGCCCAATTAATTTCTTTCTAATTTTAGTAGAGACGGGGTCTCACTCTTGCTCAGGGTGGTTTCGAACTCCTGAGCTCAAACAATCTGCCTGCCTCGGCCTCCCAGAGAGCTAGAATTACAGCCTCCCCTATCTTTTGACTTGGATCATTTCTTTCTTTTTTTGGGGGTGGGGGGCATCATTTGTGTCAAAAAGTCTGTTGTCATTCTTTGTCCATAATATTTTTTCCTTCTGGCTGCTTTTAAGCTTTTCTATCACTGAATTTAAGCAGTTTGATTATTTCATACCTTGGTGTTGTCATCTTCCTGCTTCTCATGCTTGATATTTTTCAACTTTTTGGCTTGGGATTATAGTTTTTATCAAATTTGGAAAATTTTCAGTCATTATGTCTTCAAATATCTTGTCTGCCATTCCCCCTTTTCTTTGGGGACTATAGTTAACATATATTAGATTGTTTAAAGTCATCCCGTAGCTCACTAATGAAAAGTCCTTTCCCCCACCCCCATGTTTTATTTCTGCGGTCCTCACCCTCGGGCCACGGCCTGATACCAGTCCATGGCCTACTAGAAAACTGGCCGCACCATCACCTCCTGAGCTCCACACCACCGCCCCCCGCCCCATGGAAAAATTGTCTTCCATGAAACCGGTCCCTGGTGCCAAAAAGGATGGGGACCGCTGTTTTATTTTAGATAGTTTTTATTGTACTGGCTTCATATTTACTAACCTTTATCTCAGACATGGTAGTTTATATTTCTAAGTGTTTGATTCAGGTCTCTTTTATGTCTTCTATTCCTCTATTTAACTTGCCCAATTTTTCTTGAACATACTGAATATAGTAACTACTTTAATGTCCTTGTTTATTAAGTCTACCAGCTGTGTCATTTCCAGGACTGTTTCTATTGATTAGTTCATTATTGGTCATGTTTTCCAGTTTTGATCCTTTCCAGGCTTGCTGTTAAGCTTTCTTGGGCAGACCAGAGCAGAGTTTGGTCTAGGGCTAATTTTGTGTACTTACTGAGGCAAAACCCCTAGTACTCTGCTTGATGCTCTGTGAATATGAAGTTTTTTCCATTTAGGCTGATAGGAACAAGAGCTGTTTCCAGCCGTGTGAGCTCCATGGTTCTGTTGCTGGCCTTGGCTACTTTCCTCTCACACCTGTGCTTATCAGTACTCAGCTAAAGATGGGAGTGGGGCTGTGCAGATCTCCGACATGCTCTTTCTGTGTGGCTTTCTCTTCTCTGGTGCTCTGCCCTGCAAACTCTAGTCTCCTTGGCCTGCCTAGCTTCCCTGCTCTGCCCCTCTTACTCATGGAGACCACCCGTTAGGTGTGGCTTCTCCCTCCCTGTGCTGTGGCTTGGCAATAAGCTAGAGCAATTGTAGGGTTCCCCTCATTCGTTTCTCTTCTCTCGGGGATCTCTGTCCTATTTGTCTTGAAGTTCAGCATTTAAAGTCACTGGTTTCATATACCTTATCCTATTCGTTAATCTTTTTCATGGTGGAAGGTAAATCTGGCCCCTGTTCCTCCATCTTGGCCAAAAGTGGAATCTCTTTTGTGACTTTTTAATTACCCCTAACAACTTAGCTTTGCATTCAGAGCCATTTTCAGCTACCTCTCTCTTATCCCTCCATGCCTTTGACAGACCCTATACTTTCCCCTCTCCCTCATCCCTGGCTCGTGCCGCTCTTTTCCCTGATACTTGCTCATCAGAGTCTCTTCATTCTCAGAGTCACCTCGGGTGCCTCTTCTGTGATGTTTCCCTCCCACTTGAGAAGGACCTGAACCCTTTCTCCCTGTTCTGTTTCTACCATACATAAACCTGGCTTCCAGTGTTCAGGTGTCTGCTATGCGCATGCTGGCCTTCCTGTGCAGTAAGCATGTTGACCCCCGTGTGCACGCGTGCACTGTGTCCAGCTCCGAAGGACAGAAGTGGAGCTGGCCCACCTTTGCCTCTTATACGTAGGTCCATAATGTAGAGGGTCTATAATGTAGAGAAAAGTTACTGAGCAAATGTAGCTGTGTTATATGTTTGTTAAAATGAATTGTTTTTCTCCTCTTCCCCTCCCCCCAAAATCAGGCTACAGAAGAAGTTTCCAAAAATCTGGTTGCCATGAAAGAAATTCTGTATGGCACAAATGAAAAAGAGCCGCAGACAGAAGCAGTGGCTCAGCTCGCTCAGGAACTATATAATAGCGGGCTCCTCAGCACCCTGGTAGCTGATTTGCAGCTCATTGACTTTGAGGTAAGAAATCAGTTTCTTGTTTTTCAAAAACAGCAACCTGTTCATAGTCCTTTCCCATATGTTCTCTTCTTTGGTGCATCTTGAGATTCCTGTCCGGCTGTTGGGCGGGGGTCACTGACCTCCATCAGCATGCCTGGGCTGCCTGCCTAATGAGCAGAGCCAGGTCAGGAACCCAAGGTTGTCTCAGGCTTGGGACAGGGTTTTTCCCTCTATTTCACCACATTGTGTATGCAGTAAAAGACCATAGAATGTTAGAATTTTAGAGGTGAATAAGATCTTAGAGAACATCCAGTTACGTCTGTTTTTTTTTATTTGTTGATATTCATTACAGCAGAGATTATATGTGTTTTGTTTGCTCAGCACTGCTTTTGAATTTTAAATTAGTATAACATTTAAATAGCAGGAGATTTTATACACAATTCTGAATTTCTGGCTCCTCTTGAGAAATTTAACTCTGGCAACGTTGGGCCTGTAGTCCTGCTTGGCCTCCAAGCTGGACAGAGCAGCAGTACAGGGCATCCACACCTGGGTTTGCTATAGACAGCACAGATTGCACTTCTATCCCAGGGCCTGCTTTACCCATTTGCGTCTCCTGCTCTGCCCTGGTAGGCATTTGAGATTGTTACCCAAGCTAATACAGCTGCCTTGTGCAATGGTAAATATTTAGTGAATTTAACAGTAAGAATAATGGTCCTTGACACCAGTCTGAGGAAACTAGTCTGAGAAGTGTGTATCGTAATGAAGCACTCTGGCATGGTCATGGGCAGTCTCCTCTTTGACTTTTGTCATGAGTGTGCTTTGTTTTAAGTCCTAGTGTCTGTCAGCCTGAGTGGTTGGGTGTCTGTGCAGGTGCTTGCAAGACAAGTACATGTTCCAGGGGACAAAATGACAGACATATAACCAGATTAAATTTTGGAGGAGAATGAGAAGGTATGGTCCATAGGTTACTTGAACGTAATATTGATAATAAAAATTTATTTCCGTCCTATGGAGCAGATAGAACTAGGTTATTTCCATTTATATAGATGATTACATTTAATAGTGTATCAAATTCTAACAACAAATTTTATTTCCTCTGCTAAGTTGTAGATGCACTAGAGCATCTAATTCCTTTTTCTTTGCCCCACCCATCCTGCTCCTCAGCCTGGACACTGAATTCAATATTCATTAGGGACTTTAGAGACATCATCTTAAAAGAAATGTGTACCCTTGAGACTGGTTCTTAGAGATTGCATTACTGCTCCTGAGCTAGCACAGGCTCCAGTATGATCGGTCCGGCCTTAAGGAAAACGAAAAACCAACAATTCAACCAACCCCCCTGGCAACCCCAAAAAAAAGGGCCAATCTGAAACATCTCTTGGGGTCCATTTCTCCATTTGTTAATTTCTTGTGCAGCCTTTTGATTGTAAGGTTCACCAAATGGGTCCATCTATTTTGTACAGTGGTGTGATGAAGTTCTGATCTCTGAACCACTGTATCATGTGATACTTAGCATCTTTATTATTAATATATAAAATCTTTTTTAAGTAGACCTAGTGTAATCAAAAGATATGTCTACTTGTCATTAAAGCTCAGCTTCTTACAGAATCATTTCTTTTTTTAACAAATGAATTAAAAGGAGTTTCCCCTCCTTTCATCATAATAAAAGGAAAGTATCTGTATTATTCACAGTGCAAGCATTTAATTTGAACTACTTGTTCCATTTGGGTGGGATTCAGATCCCTATAGATTGTTAACATATAGCAAGGTTTTGTTTTTCATATCCGAGTCAGTATGATCCTGAGTTAGAAATGGTTGAAATTATATGTGAAATGTAGCAAGATTTTTCTTTGTCAACATATTGTTCATGTTAAAAGTAGTATACTATTAAAACTTAGAATTTGGAATTACAAATGAAGATATAAAACAAGAAAATTTAATATCTCTGAACATGCTAAAGTCAGATATTCAGTCATAACTGTAAATATACAGTAGCTTTATTTGAGTTTATTTGGGAGGGTGAATGGGCATTTTGATGTTTTGTCAGGTAAATATTTTAATGATTGTATTCCTAATAGGGCAAAAAAGACGTGGCTCAAATTTTCAACAATATTCTCAGAAGACAAATTGGTACAAGAACTCCTACTGTTGAATACATCTGCACCCAACAGAATATTTTGTTCATGTTATTGAAAGGGTATGTACAATGTAATAAAATTTATATTCTTAGTTTAAAATAAAAAGGAAAGATTGCCTTGGGGCAAAAACAGGATGGTGAATGTGGGAAGCATTCTCTCTGTAGTTTAGTCAGATAAGTTTTCCATAGATCTTGAATGCATTTCCCTCCTTAAAGTTCAACCTGTGAGCTCAATTGAATTTGAAAAAGCCCTATAGAGAGTTTAAAATTGGGTTAATTGTGAGCCTTTAAATTCATAAACTGAACGTGACTAAAGGAAAAAAAAATAAGTCATCTATGGTCTTATTTCTAATCTTTAAGATTAAATCGAAATATCATGTATTTAAAGACATCGCCTTTGTACATAATATATACACTGTAAGGCAGTACAGGCTGCCTCATGAACAGAGCATGGATGCTCATAGCTTCACTTTGTTCAGTCCACAAGGCATGTGTTTATGATGCAGTACCCTTTGATTTTACCCCTCTGTGTCCGTCACTAACCCACTTAATTTGGCAGTTCACAGTGCATCTTCCTGGAGTTACTACTGGACTAAGCAGGCATTAATGTTTGGGTAATCTTGTCAGTTTAAAAACAGACAAAACTGAAAAAGCCTAAAAACTAAAACTTAAAAAAAAAAAAAAAAAAGACAAAACAAATCTTCTCCCTCATCATTGAGCCTTCCTGACTGGCAAGGTAACCTCCTGTTGTTTCACGCCAGAGTTGTCTGCCAGCTCAGTGTGCATCTGTCCCAGCAGTGGTGGTGTTCTGTTAAACTGGTGGGCAAGCATGTTACTGGCATGACTGTTGGCATGAATCAGCTTGCTCTCCTACTCCTGGCTTTATATCTTGCCTCGCGCTGATTCATATCTCTGTGGTTTAACACCTCCCCCAAGTTCATACTTGTTTAGACAAAGCATGAGTCAGTGCATGTGTTGCAGGCCAGCATTCTGTTTCCTTCTTTCTATTTCTAACCATGGTGTTGCTTCTTTAGATATTGCCATACAGAACTTTTGGCATCTAATTTGTTGTATCAATTCAGAGTTCTGGGTGTAAACATGTAATGAGTAGCCTGACACTCTGGTATTCTTAGACCAGCTTCCAGATGCCTTTGTATTTTTAAAGTCAATATTTCCTTTTCCATAGAAACCAGTGATTATTAAAACCCATTAAATTACTTAAGCCTGCCTACATTTTCACTTTAGAGTAGCCACAGGTATGTTACGAACATTGTTAAACAATTTAAAGTTTAAAGCTCTCATCTGAGTTGGTCAGAGCAGAAACCTCAGCCAGGAAGGGAGGAGAGGCATGGAGCATGCAGCTGGTATTGGGATCCAGCAGACCCGTCACTTTGTTGTTGAAAATATACACACACCTGGAGGGAATGGTAGAATAAACCCGTCCCGAGCCATAACCCAGCTTCAGCACCTACTATTGTTCTGTCATTCTTGTGTCCTCTATTCTTTGCCTCCTTTTTTCCTCCTCACACATGACATCACTTCAGTGTGCATCCCTAGTACATAACACATAACACAATGTAACAATCACAATGCCAATTATAGATTTCCTTAGTTTTCACAAAATGTCATTTTACAGTTATTTTTTTTAAATCAGGCTCCAAATAAGATCCACAAACTGAATTTGGTTAATATGACTCTTAGCTCTCTTTTAATCTATAATAGTTAATGCCCTCTTTTTAAAAAAATGTGTGCCATTTATATGTTGAAGCAACTGAGTTATTTGTTTTATAGAAAAGTCATGTATTTTGGATTTGCATTCTTATGGTTTCATTTAACATGTTACACTATCCCCTATTGCTTTAAATTGGTGGTTAGCTCTAGACATTTGTTTAGATTCAAGAATTTGAGCAAGAATTCTTCATAGATAGTGCTTTGTGTTTCCTATTGCATGGCACCTGTTGTCCCACTTGTGGCGATGTTTGGATTGACCAGTGGATGCAGATGTTACCAGTCTGTGATCTATCCATTGCAGAGTTTTCCATGGACTTGATGGTTTTAATATTCATTGGTCATTGCCTAGATTCTAAATGGCAATTTCTTGATTCTGTTATTCCTTCTCCATATAATTAAATGTATTTCTTCTATAAAGAGCCTTTCCTCGTTGATGACTTAGTTATTCAAGATACAACCTGTATGGGAAAGACAGATATCATTATACTGAAAAGTATAATAAGTTGGCGCCTTGGCCACATCATTAGATAAGCATTGAATTATTGTTTTAAGCATCATTATACACACAAGTTTTTGTTTTTTAAAAAAATATATTTGATGTGTCTCGATCTGTGGCAGTCATTACTTATGTCCAAATTGCCCAATCTTAGGCCACTGGGAACTCCTCCAAATTGGTTCCTATGTCCTTTTGGCAAGACCCCATTAGTCTGTGATGGCTTCTCTGCTTTCTGGCACAAGATGACCACCTTGCTCATTTTATACAGTTCCTGCCAGACCTGGAAACAGCCATTTCTTTACGGAGCCCTATGAACTACTTTCTAATATTTTTTTGCTTTTGTTGTTTAACTAGTTTAGGCTACTTACATGCAATGTGACTATGTTCTTAGGCTATAAGTATTTTGAGGTTAGATATTGGGGGGGGGTATGCTGCTGATATTAGTATGCATTTAAAATCTTATTGCTAGTGTTAGACTGCATTTGTAGGCAATAGGGTTTTTTACTGGCAATTTAAATGTTAATGTGCTTTCCACTTTAGTGCTAGCAGGTTGTACAGCATAACTGTTTGCCTTGTACTCATTGGTTTATGGTTTAATCACTTAGACAAGCTTGACAAACCTCCATCAAAACCTGCCCAACTTGTTGTACCAAACTGTCTTACCCTTGTCCTTGTAGTTTCCTGCTTATTAAAGATCAGCAAAGATAAATTGTGTGATCAGCCATTTGTGAGCAGACATTTCAGATAAGAGCCAGTCAGCATTCTAGCTGCCATACCTCAAATGATGTAAAGGAATGTGGTTTTGATGTTGTTGAGGATCAATGATAAGCATATGTACAAGAAGGTAACACTATTAGATAACAAATTAGTACTACAAGATTTCAGAGAATAGATTGTGGTTTTGGTTAAAAAGACAAGAGTTGGTAAAAGGAATGGGACTTAAGATTGGAGTTCCCAATAGATTAGAATTTGTATAGGCAGAAAAAAGAGAGAAGGCATCGTTATGGTGTATTGCTGGCAGGAATGAACACAACGTGATTGACAACAATAATCTGAAAGTTTTATGGGCCAGTGGGAGATGGAGTTGTGTCAGAGTAGTAGATATGATGAGCAGAAGACCTGACATTGAGCCCACATGTTTGTCTTCATTTGATTACCTGGAAGAAATAATTTTAAGCTCCTAAGCTAGAAGTGCTGTTGATATACTGTGTGTTGGGCAGATTTATTAAGATAGAGCTTGAACAAAGATACTGGTTAGGAAGCATTTGTAGTTGTCCAGGTGTGACTTAATGCAGCAGTGGAAATGGATAAAAAGAAATGAAACTGAGATATTTCAAAGAAGCATTTTTAAAAGTCTGGTAACACTGAAAATGGGAAGATTTGGAATGAAGAAGGAAAAGCTATTTCAAATTAATTTAAATTAAATATTTACAGTTCAGTCCGTCAGTCACACTAGCCAGATTTCAAGTGCTTAGTTAGCTGCACATGGCTAGTAGTTACCGTAATGGACAGCACAGATCTAGAACACTTTCTCCATTACAGAAAGTTCTGCTAGACCTGGTTTAGACCTGGCTATCTAAAACAAAATAATGATGCGAAATCATAGAAACAGAGAAGCAGCAGAGTTGGGGAGTTATTTTGTGGAGGGAGGTGAGATTTGATTTTAGACATGTTGCGTGTATGTAGACCTTTAACTGAGGTTGTCCAGAGGCAACAGAAAATGCCTGAGTACAATTCTGTGGTAGACTTGGGGTGTGGTTAGTAGTCATGGTGGGAGCCAGGAGACTGTGGGCTTTCATTAGCAGGTTGTAGGCAATTGGTAAAGACCTCAGGCAGGCAAGAAATAGGAACAGTCAGAGATAGAAAGGAGAACTGGGAGAGGTTTTATTTCTTTTTTTAAAGAGAAAATGCAAAGATCAGCACTGTTAAGACCCTTAATAGAAGAATCTGTGTCATGAGAAAAGATCGATAGTTTTAGCCAAGTGGAGGTCTTTGCTGGCCAATTAGTTATTTCACTAGAGTGTTGGGAAATGGAATTTGACTGCAAGAAACTGGAGAAGAATGGGAGTGGGAAAGAAAGCCGATGCATGCAGCTTGAAAGGAAGTGGAAGAAAAGAAAACGATGTCTTGAGCAGGGTGGCGGGATCCGGTCCCGGGACTTGGTGCACGTCAGAAGAGGAAAAGCCGCTTGCTTGGCTGAGGGCCTTTTTTCTGATCACGGGCAAGGAGGAGGTGAGAGACTCTGAGATGAGCATAGAGGAAGGCTGCGTGCAGAGAGCTGGTGAGAGAGGCCCTGGGTCTCCTCAGGGAGGCACTTTGAGAAGTCCTCAGGAGGAGGCTTGCAGTTCTGTGGTGTTTACAGGTGGCTAGGAGTCTCAAAGTACTATTTCGAGTGCTGAATTGAAACGATGAAATATAAATGCTATATATTTGATAGTCCTATTTAAATATTCTGAGTTTCTGAATCTGGAAAAATATTTTATACTGTTTTTTGGTTTGGCTTTTTTTCTGAGTGTTGAAAATACCATGTTTAAAAGCTAACTACTGTACAAAGTGGTATCACCCTAAATACTTCTCTTCAAATCTGTTAGCTTAAATAATGAACTTTTATTCACATGATCACTCTCATGGCTCTTCTTCTTTGACTGAAGGCAGTTACCTATCACCAACCAGTGTGTTGCGTGCGCTAGAGTAAATTTACCCGGCACATGTTCTACTTACTCTGAAAGAAATGCCTTGTTCAGGACATATGCCTGCAAACTTCCTGTTCTAAAAGTTTGAACTGTTTAGTATTGAAGTTTTAAAAGAGCAATCATGTTTGGGTTTTTTTGTTTGTTTTTTTGTTTTTGCAGGTATGAATCTCCAGAAATAGCTCTAAATTGTGGAATAATGTTAAGAGAGTGCATCAGACATGAACCACTTGCAAAAATCATTTTGTGGTCGGAACAGTTTTATGATTTCTTCAGATATGTGGAAATGTCAACATTTGACATAGCTTCAGATGCATTTGCCACATTCAAGGTAACATAAAAACTGTAGAATTCTAGGTATACTTGCAAGTTAGATTAACAAGTGTGCTGTTTTCTCCTAAGCCCTCCTAAATCTACACACAGCTGCCCTCTAGTGGGAAGAGAGAAGATATATTTTATATGTGTTTGTGTGATTTAGTCATATGCAGTAAAGTCACAGCTTAAAGGCAGTGGAAGAGGAGTTAGATTCTAAAGTTTTTCTAAAAGACAAAAGTCCTGTATAGTCAAAATTATACTTTTCTGTTAAATTGCCCATTAAGTATGATATACCGTACCGTACACATAATAACCAGGTTTTCTCCTGTGTTGGAACATTCTGTAGCTGTTTCTTTGGTGAAACACCAGATGAAGTAGTTGACTCTGTTCAGGGTCCATGTTAATTTAGAATATGCATGTCATTAAATAGTAGAACCACAGTCAGGACAGACATACCCACATGGTGGACAGGTCAATTCACCTCTTCCCTCTCCTGCTCACACCAGAGCATATCTGTTAAATGCAGTGTGGGGACAGAGTCACCTGCACTATTCAAGTTATTATGTATCCTCCCTGCACCCCCATCTACCTTACCTCCCTTGTGTATTTGTGTAAATTAAATACACATATGGTATGAGTCCACTGTGCAACATGCACGTTTTTGTTTTGAGCCGTAAGGTTCTGTGCTGTTTAAAGTATAAATAAAAGCAGTAATCTTTATTAGTTTTTTTCACAACGAGAGCAAGCCTTTCTTGGTTACATTTTCTTATATAAAACGGCTGACCTTATAAGTAAATATTTAGAACTATTTTAATAGCATACTGACATGTAGATGACCATGCTCAGAAACCATGAACACGATTACAGTGAGAAGTGGCCACTTTTCTTGTGAGGGTTCAGTTTTATGATTAAAAAGAGCCCATGAGGACACACCTTGGTCTCTGGGTAAATATGCTGAGCCTCAGAGTGAAGGCCCTTAAGATAGGATGAAAGTCTGAGGATCTGGTCATGAGGGTTTCACACTGAATAAGGTCATAGCATAAGAGGTGCACAGGGGGTTATTTCCCAAAATCATGGAAGAGGGTGTCAGAAGCCTTAAGTAAGACCTCAGATGTTTATATGTCAGTGTACAAAGCAAAATGAAATGAATTTGAGATTATAACCTAGAGTGGTCAATATGATGTCTTAGGTGTCACCGCAGTTGGTGGGATAGGACTCATGATTAGAATACATCGACGGAAGGGTGTGCCCCATTCAGAAGCAGCAGACCCGGCATGGAGGGAGGTGTAGCAGCACCATGTGTCAAGGAGAGATTCCCCTGTGTGGAAGGACAGCCAGGAGCCCGAGAGTGGCAACACTCTGGGCACATGAGGGTGAGGGAAGAGGATTGAGGAGCAGCAGTGGTGTGGGAGAATGCAGCGAGACCCCTGACCACGTGGAGGACATGCTCCTGGCACAGATGGCAGAAGTGGCTCAGGTGAGAGAGATGTGCTGACTACATGCCAGAATGTGATTTGCAGTATCTGACAAAGTCTTGATTGGCCTTGCTGATGATTGCATTTCTCACCAAGGAGAAAATGGTGGTGATAGAATCACTGTGGGCAAAGCAGCCCTGTCAGGTCATGGTAGCCAGAGCGGGAAAGACTAGGCAGGAAGGCAGGTCTTCTCTGCTTAAAAAAGGGGTACTTCAGGAAACAACGTAGCATTCTAGGGGAGAGCTCTAGGAGAGAGCGCTGAGGGGCGGGTGTGGACTCTGTGTCAGGTGCTCTTGAGTCCACAGAAAGGGGGAGCTGATGAAAGAGGCCCCTGAAGAGAGAGCTCACCAAGAAACAAAATGAAGCAGAGCCTGCAACCAAGACAGTGCCTAAGAGAGAGGCACAGCCCTCCCATCGTGACCTCAGGGTGGCTAAGCTACCAAACAGGCCGGAGCTGCCTCCCCACTTTACCTTAGGGAATCTGCAGTCAGAGCGAGAAGATGGGCCAGGAGGGGCAGTCGCACAGCTACATAGCAGAGGCACCGACAAGAAGGAAAGGGAAATTGCTCCTCTCCTGCCTTGCTGGGTCCTCATCACAGAGGATATTTTTGTAATGGAAAGGGAGACCAAATCTGTGGTTCAGGCTCTCCTTAGAGAATGTGGCAAGAGCTCCCTTCCAGAAAATGTGTTCCACACACAAAAATGTTCAAACAAATGCAGCTCATTCATGACCCTGGATTTAAACCTCCTGAAATAGGTACTGAATCTTAAAGGAAATTAAAACTACCTGCCCTATTAAATGTCCAAGATTCATAGCTGGAATGGATGGATACTGAGCTAGTAAACCAGGTGGCCATTATTTGTTAATGACTTTTTTCTTTTTTGAGGAATTAGGGAGATGAGGGAGGGGCATTCGAAAACCAACAAATATATTCCCAATTTTCCAGAATAAAAGAAGGTAGGTTCCCCCAGAGAGACTGGTTGGAGCTTGGGGCTTGATGTTACACCTGTGTAAGTTTCTAGAAAGTATTTTTAAAGAGATGATTTCTGAACATTTTAGAAAGGAAATTGTGTCCCCACAGCCAGCGTGGATTCACTAAGTTCAGTCATACTGATCTCACGGATGCCAGCAGATCAGGGAAAGGGTGGTTTGCCTGGATTCAAACCATCTCTGCTGCTGATTTAACCTCCACTTCTTCATCTGTTAAAATGTGGGTGATAATACAAGCATGTCAGAGTTATTATGCCTCCATACAGAATGTATGCAGTAAATATTAGCTATTCCTTCATGATGAGGATATGCTAGATATTGAATAATTCTACAAATCTGTTCTCATGGAAATGATTTTAAAAAACTGAGCTAGATATAGTTTCAGTATAGTGATTCACAGCTAATTGAATGCCATATTCATACACTGTTGGCAAATGGATTAGCATCACCCTGGAGAGAAACTTCTAGTGGAACTCCACTGGGCTTTCCCCACCCAGCCCAGCTGAACATTTTTATTAATGACTGGAAAAAAAGGGTGACAAGGCATACTTATCAAATATGTAGATGCTAGCCATGAAGGGAAAGACAGCAGGTAACAGTGGATCCTACAATTTATGAAGATCCAGAGAAGTCAGAATATAACAGGATGAGATTAAATATAGATACCTGAGGTCTTCCACTGGAGGACCCAACTGTTTAACTACAGGACGGAGGAATAAGACATAATAAAAATAGTTAAAACTAAATGAAGTAATTACTAAGTATAATAATTACTAGAATGTAGGTCATTTCATCTCATACTTAACCCTGTGAAGGAGGTATTGTTATTATCTCCTTTACAGATGAGGAAAATGAAGCCTAGAGATGTTGAGTGAAGTCAGAATTTGAATCCAGGCAGGCTAACTGCAGCGCCCGCTCTGAGTGTACAATTCTGAAAACGTACCATAAAATGAAACAGTGTGATGATGCTGCCCTCAAAGCTCCTTGCAACAACACAGTGTGTAACCTAAGGAGCTAATTGATGGTCTCACTCCACTATAAGCTTGTCAGGTAACAACACATAAATGTGTTCCATTCCAGGCGCTACACTTTAAGAGGCACATAGACAAATAGATGACTTTCAGAAGACAGTAGATGGTGAGGGGGACTCAGAACCCTGTCATTCGAGGAGTGGTTAAAGGATCTGGACGTATTTAGCCTGGAGAAGAGAAGACTCGGTAGGGGCTTGCCATGAGAGTACTACTTGTATTTGAAGTGGGGTCCTATAGAAAATGGACTAAACATATCTGTTGGCTCTGACGGTTTCTGGAAAGAACTTGAGGATAGGTTTGACTCTAGCACAGGAAGAACTTTCTAACTATGAGAGCTCCAAAGGTGAACTAGCCACACAATTGGAAGAATTGAGTTCCTTGTCCTTGGACATAGTCAAACATCAAGTAGGAAATGGGGCCGAATAATTCGCCAAGGTGAATGTGAAAATAAGCCCCCCAGTTTAGCAGTATTTCTTCAGGGATTCCAGGGCTGTTTGTCACGTGATGTTTGGGCCCAAACTCAAACTTTTAGGAAGCTTTTTAATTCAGCCCACCCCAAAAGTTGGCTGCTCAGTCTGCTGGACTTGGTAAATGATCCCTGGTCTTTCTCCAAGTTATGCCAGGGCCCTGGGTAGACTGGAAATCAGATAGGTGGGAGATTAGAGATCCTTTTCTTCTCCCCTCTGCTGACTGACAGCAACTCTGCTGGTCTCAGATTACATGTACCCTGTCTGCTTTGTGGATCGCTGACCAGATTCTGACTGCATGCCCTTTGCCCTTCATTTTCTATTCTGTTGGTTTCTAACCAGCCCCCACCCCGTCCCCGCACTGAGCTCTCCACAGCTTTTAGCTCTAGCTGGTAGGCTGGTTAAAGGAGTGGTTAAAGGAACCGGACATCTCTCAGCAGATAGAGGCACTGCCCAAGTCCCCAGCGCTTCCTTCTCCCAGCTTAGTATTACCTGCTTCTCAGTGTTGGCTCTTCATAGTTGCTCCTTTCCTGCTAGTATTTCCCCCAGCACGGCCACCCCTTCTTAATGTCCTATTGTGCATTGGGTCCTACTCCCACTTGAGCAGTCTCAGAGCGCCCCCTTTCAGTCTCTCCTACGCCACAGCCATTGAGACTTGATTCCTAGTTGGCAACAGTTTCCTGAGTTTCCAGATGACAACAAATAGAATCTCCCCTAGCGGGGGAGATGTTGGAGGTCCCCCTTTTAGTGTGTGGCCCCCCTGTGTGCCTCTTTTTCTTTTTCTTTTTTTTAGAAGCCACCATACTTTGGAATCAACTCTGAGCCTCTTGCTCCTGCTTGAGGTATCCTTCAGAGTGAATAGTCACTTTAATCAAACATTCAGGAAAAATGTGTTGTGCAGCGTGTTTACACCTAGACGACCTTTGCTGTATAGAGTAGATACTTTCTACTACCTGTTCTTAAGAATCCAGCCCCAGTTGAGAGCCAGCATCTCTTAAGACCCCTCTCCCTTGGCATCCTCTTTCGTCAGACTATGACAGAACAGCAAGCAAGTGGGTTCCTTCCGCTGTGCTTCCTTGTACTGGCCTCCAGAACGATTTAGCCACAAAAAAGTAGAAGTGACACTCAATCTTGCATGAATCCTGGCACACACTAATCCCTTAATTCACTTATTCATTTGTTCATTCACCATGTCCCTGAGTGCCTGCCCTGGGTGCTGGGCGTTCGGTGGTGAACCATACAGCCAAACCCTGCCCTTGCGGCACTTCCACAGGGGGACACCAGCCGTGAGCAGACACAGTAATGTGTTAAAAGGTGGTAAGTGCTCTTTAACAGGCATGTATTAAATGCCACCTATGCTTAATACATTCCCCTCAAAGTCTTCATGTTCCTCTCCTTTGCAGCTGTCCCGGTGGACCAGTGGACTAAGATAATATAAATTCTACCACTGTCCTCCTCTTCCCTATAGGGAAACCTTGTAGCACCTCTTGCCAAATTCTTGGGGGTACTGAAACTCCCAGTTTTCTAATTTTGCCTATTTAATCCTCAAGGAGGATTTGGAAAAAATTGGGTAGGTCCTTCCTGGGCATCCCTGTTATAATCAGGAAATATGATATATACCCTATCCAGCAGTGTGAACAACTGTAAATCTTTGGGGTTGGGTTAGAAGCCTTCTTAAAAGCATACTTCGAAGATTGCTTAATGTGATATTTTTCCATATAGGCTCCCTGGTTTTATTAGTTCATTCATCGATTTATTAAATATTAAGCTCTTACTATGTGCTGGCCACTGCATAGGTGCTTTGGATTCAAAGGTTAGTAAAAGTAGATATGACCCTTGTATTTATGGAATTTACAGACTAGCACAAGAGAGAGTTTACTCGGATAATCCTGCAAACGATGGAAAGTCACAGCTGTGACCAGTGCTCTCATGCTGGTGACCTGTCAGGAAAGGCTCCCTGCGGAAGTAAGGCTTGAGCCGAGGTACGAGGGGCGAGTACTAGGTAGCCAGGCAGGGGAAAGCCTGTATGGAGGCCTTTTGGGGAAGGATGTTAACAGAAGGTAGGTGACAAAAGGGTCCCTGCAAAATCTCAGAGACCTGATAGGTCTCTCTACGAGGGAACTCGAGCTGCTGCGACTTCCACATTTGTTTTACCGTGGAAAAAAATTACCTAGAGCATTTCTCCAGACCAGCATTACACTTCAACATACTTCAGGAAACACTAGTTCATTATAACCTGGGCAACCTCAGGAAAGAAGACAAGTTCAGGAAAGTTGATTTGGGGAAAGGAGATTATCACACTAACCTCTGTAGTGGTGCTGAAGGGACTTAGTTCATTAGTTCTCCAGATCCTGGGCGTTTCTGCCGTCACCTGTTCTCATTCTCTTTCCCCCCTGGTGAGACCAAGACCTAGTCTATTGTGAACTTTTAGGTCCTTGAAGGCAGGGATCATATCTCTTTGTCTTTGAAGCTCTAGCACCTAGAACGTTACCTGGCACATAGTAGATATTTCTGAATGATTGATCCTCGAGTTGTTTCCTGGGAAAGCTGTGGGGTGAGGCGTTTCATGATAATGCAGAATTGGGCCATAGGTCAAACTAATTGTTAATCCTACATTTTTATAGCATTATTTTGCTTACATAGAGACTAATGTTTATATAGGGGGCTTTTAAAGAAACATTCCATCTTTGAAAAAAACATTACATTAGATGCAAAACTGAAAGTAATTACATTTAGGAGGAAGAAAAGAGAACCCCTGATACTTTTTCTTTTCTTTTCTTTTTTTTTTTGAGGCAGAGTCTCACTCTGTTGTCTGGGCTAGAGTGCCATGGCCTCAGCCTAGCTCACAGCAACCTCAAACTCCTGGGCTCAAGCGATCCTCCTGCCTCAGCCTCCCGAGTAGCTGGGACTACAGGCACGAACCACCATGCCCAGCTAATTTTTTCTATATATTTTTAGTTGTCCAGCTAATTTCTTTCTATTATTGGTAAAGATGGGGTCTCGCTCTTGCTCAGGCTGGTCTCGAACTCCTGAGGTCAAGCGATCCTCCCACCTCGGCCTCCCAGAGTGCTAGAATTACAGGCATGAGCCACCGTGCCCGGCCCAAATTTGCCATGATACTTTTTCTAATAATAGAAATTTCTTCTTTCTCTACCAGGAGCATTAAATGGGTACAGGATTCTGTTTGACATTTACCACTACTGTTAATTTATTTCACTATAATTCTTTAGTCCTTTTCTTTTAGTTTATGTTTTTATTGCCTTATATGTTTGTTTTTTTGTTTTCCTTCTAAGAGCTATAGATTCATGCCTAATTATGATCATTAAAATTGCAATTTCAAATTATTAATGATTTTTATTTGCTCTTATATAGAATCAACATTTTCAGTACAATTCATGCTCAAGTGTTAAATATAGTAATTTTTAACAACAGTTTTTATCAGGTAAAATGGCGTGGAATGTTTTAGGATTCTCTTTTCTGAAAGAATTTGAATGGAGAGCAACTGTAAAAACAAATTTTCTTTTTTTAGGATTTACTTACAAGACATAAATTGCTCAGTGCAGAATTTTTGGAACAGCATTATGATAGAGTAAGTATATGAAATACTATTTCTAAATAACACATTGTAACTTTTGTTACCAGAAATGAAAGATTTAAACTCAGTTTTGTACCAGGATATGTATTTTGCAGATACAATGTTTTTAAGTGGTGCTGTAATCATTTCTCTACTGAAGCAGCTTACACAGTGTTACTTGGTCAGCAGCATTTTTTTTTAAGCCAGTCAAATTTAGCAGTGGGGGGGGTATATACCAACTTAGTGACACCAATGTTAATAAAAGCAGATCTTTTTGATTAACACACTGCCCTTTACATCTTATCTTGCTTTGAAAGAGAAAACATAGAGCATTTTTCTGCTGAATAATAGTACAGTTAAGACAAAATGAAAATATTGTCTGACTTTGTAACCTTTCCTTCCTTTCCATCAGTTGCCCCACATCCCCGCTGTGTACAAACAGAGAGGAAGGGAGACACGGCTGAGGGCGTGGGAGCAACACTGGCCAGAGGGCACAGAGCCGGCTCTGCTCCTGCCCTGCTGCTAACTTCTCTGTGGCCGCGGCCAGGGTAGTTAACTGCTTGGGGACTTAGAAGTCTGTCCTTTTTGTAAAAGAGGACGTGGGACTAGCCTTCCAGTGCTGAATCAGTGTCAGGCATTCCTGGTAATGGTGTCCCCCAGAGATTTATAAATGATTCTCAGAGTGCTTTGACAATGTAATTTCCTTAGACCAGCACAACCGCCTCTAGGGCTAAAGTGGGTTCTGCTTTCCTCAGGAGGGTCTTCTGAGATACCCACAGGCAGTCTCTCCTGCCATAGTGGTTTAACTACAAGTTGTCCAAGACCTGCTAGGTACTCTTAGAGAAGTTAGAACAGTAACAATCCACTTGAAATCCCTATCTATCCCACAAGATTTGGCTTGGGTTTTAATTCTTCCACTAGTATGTTTGAATTTTTGAAATTCTAAGTATTGTTAATACTTCATTGTTCACTTTACTATTCAACTAAGTTATAAGATTCCTGGAGACAAAATACATGCTTTCTTATTCTTTTGTGTTCTTTCTCCCTGTCTTGCTCTTCTGCTCCCAGCAGCATCATAGCACAGTGCTGACGACATACTAAGTCCTTCCTAAATAGCCTCATAAATGGTTTCAGTGTCACTGGTGCTTTGTTTTTTATTTCTGCACATGTATTTGGATGTGGGTGTGTTTCTTTTCGAATGTTTGCTGGTTTAAAATGGCAGCACTGTCATTTCATTGGGCCTTTTTACACAAATTAGAAACATGGGCTTGAGTATCAGACTGCCTAGAATCTAGCTACAAGTCCCAGCCCTGCCATGCGCTAGTAAGATCTCGGGCAGCTGCTTCATGTACCCTCTGTGCCTTCAAGGTCTTCAGCCCTAGAGAAGGCTCCTGGTGGTACTTGGCTGCGGGGGTCAGTGTGAGGATTAGATAAGAATGTGTGTGTGAAGTGTGTGGCACAGTACCTGGAACATAGGAAGCATTTAATAAATGTTGGCTAATTTATTATTATCACCACATGGTCTCAAAGATTTTTTTAACATACTGGTATCTCATTTTAAAGCCTACCAAAGCCAATCTCCAAGAAATTTACTACAGGCAGTGAAATCTGTTTAATCTTGCAGGAAAATAGTTTCCTACGTGTTGTTATTAGTGGATGACATCAGTTAACAGGATTTTAGAAGAGTGTATGTGAGGCAACTAAACAAGTATATACAGTGCAGTCAGATTTGATGGAGGGAGAAGCAAAGCGGGGGATACGGGTAATTTAAATAAAGCCTGAGGTAAGATTATTACACAAAAAAATGCATGCTCCAAAATCCTGTACACTTTGGCACTGAGCTTTCTAATGATAACCAAAGCATAGAAAGAAACAAAATTAACTAAAAGATCTTTACAATATTTGTAAAGTAAAATATATGTGCTGGTTGCTGAAAAGAAACAGCCTTTTCTAGCACTGGGACCTGAAACAAATTTCTCCCATTGTCATTCTTAAAGCAGAGTCAAATTGCAGTGTTGTGTAGTGGACAGTTACCGTGGGTGACACTGCAGTAAGTACAATGCTCAGCTGAAGTGCAGTTCCCTGACAGCAAGTCCTGGAGTTTCCTAGAGGTGTGTGGGGTGAGGGGGAGGTGCCTAGCTTTGCTCCCTGACCTCTGTCCTAATCTAGAGAGAAAACCTACCATGTCTCGGGGAAATGTGGACTACTCTGGACAAACGCTTCATGCAGTTCCCCACGAAAAATTTCTTACAACCAAGCTTATCCAAAGAATTATGCAGCAGAAAAGCTTAACTTGCATTTCCTGTCAAGAATTTGGATACACATATTTTGTGTTACTGATTAAAAGCAGATCCAATTGTTTTGATCAGTTTAATCATTTGAGGAGAAGGTAGAGTTAATAGCTTTTTCTGAAAAGAGGGAAATCTAACTTGCTTGCATATTAAATAGATGGCCATCCCACCTCTGCCTGGAATGTATAGGCATCTGGGTCAGCTCTAAACGAAGAGGGCCAGATAATAAATATTTGAGGCTTTGTGAGCCCTGCAGTCTGCTCGCCTGTCCCTTGCAAATAGTCACAAACAATACATAAATATATAAACGAATTCATTTTCAGTAAACAAACAAGCATGGCCATGTTATTTGTAAAAACAAGCAGCAGGCTGGATTTGGCCCGTGGGCTTAGTTTGCCAACCCCCACTCCAGACCACAGATGAATGGCTCCTGAGGACCCATCCTGGAGCGTGGGCACATGTAGTTTTCACACAGATAGATGACAAAGGAGGCATGCTCTCGAACTCACCATGACCAGTGAAAAGTCTCAGGAAAGCACCAATCCAACAAAGTCATACTAATTCTGCAAACTTTTGGAATGTTTTAAACCTCCACAGTTTAAACAAACAAAAAGTACACTAACTGGCCTTCTCTACTGTTTTTGAAGGATAGCCTGGCCCCTGTGTCTCTGTCATTTTTGGTTCCTGGTTTCCTGCTTCACTCGGCTTCTACCCTTTACCATTCCAGTGACGCTGTTCTTGCTAGTGACCACTGTTTCGGAGATTAGTGGACACTAATCACTTCTTAAATCTGCGGTATTCTGCTCTCCCAGGTCTTCACTCATGCTGTGCCCTTCCTTTCTTATCCCCCAAGAATCTCTTTTCTTCTCCCCATTTCTGAACGAAATCCTTCCTGTCTTCAAGCTTGAGCCTAAGTCCCACCTTCTCCAGGACACCTGCCTATAACACAGTGGTGAATTGCTGCTCTCTTCTGCTTTTAATTATTTTCTATCCTCGCTTGGTACCTTGAAAGAACAGGTAACTTTGTCATTGTGGTTGTGCTTTGGACAAACTGAGTTCTTGTTTGTAAACAATATGAATAACACCAAGAAATGAGAGCTGATTCAACAGTAGGGAAACCACGGGGAGAAAGGAAGTTATGTCTGGACATATAGAATTGGGTGACAGAGGGGACTAGATTTGCGCTCTCCAGGGGCCTGCCTGGAGCTGGAGGGGATCAGCGGGTGTCACTCGGAGCCCATCAGAGGAACGTATGAAAGAGAACACAGCAGGGGCACCAGGGCCACCGTTGGCCTCATAGTGTTAGAAGTTTATACTCAAGCTTTATGATGTTATCTACCAATTTTTTTTCTCAATAATCCTGATACATGTTTTTTTATCTCTTAGTTTTTCAGTGAATATGAGAAGTTACTTCATTCAGAAAATTATGTGACAAAAAGACAGTCACTCAAGGTATGGCAGACGATTTTGTATAGTTTATTTCTCTTCACCCTGTGTTTGAAATTTGGATTTGGGGAAAGGGAGATGTGCTGGTTTGGGTCTCAGACCTTTGAGGGAAACTACATTTGCTCTTGGCCAGGATTTTTGCAGAAAGGAGCAAGGTTCGGTGGTGAGCCACGCAGAGCACCTGCCTAACTCCTTGTAAGGAAGAGACACCAAAAGGGAATGTGCTAAAGTTTGAAGAGGACTTTATCTCCTAAAATGTATTAGTTTAGATTTTGAGACATGTTTTTAAAACTTAGAGTCATATCAGCAGATGAAAGCACTGCTGGTGTTTTGCCCGCTGGGCTGCTGTTTGAGGGGAGGGCACAGGACAGCGATGTCAGGCTGAAGCTGCGAACGGCGGACAGGCTTAGCTGCTCTGTGTCAAAATAGGGTATCCGTTTGCAACTTAAGATGTTAAATTTAAGATTTAAACTCTAGAACAGGGGTTGGCAAACTACAGCCCATGGGCCAAGTCCAGCCAGCTGCCTATTTTTCTAAAGTTTATTGGAATACAGAAATGCTCATGTATTTACATATTGTCTGTGGCTGTTTCAGGCTACAGTAGCAGATTTGAATAATTGCCTCAAAGTCTGAAATATTTACTGTCTGGCTCTTTATAGAAAAAGTTTGCTGACCCTGTGCTTAGGAGAGTCTTACAGGAGTTAATAAATGCGCACACCCGCATTCTGTCAGTGAGCAGTGCTGACAGGAACTCGGGATGGAGTCACAAAGGACTTGGGGAGAAAATCCTAATTCTGTTTAATTTCTTGCCAGGTCTATTGTAAATCCTACTCTGCCCAGAGTTCTCTTCCCTTCCTACCTCGGGGAAATCTCCCTTGAAGACCTTATCTTTCTGTGGAAAGACACTTAAAGGACACTAAGAGCATCTGTAAATACTTTGTGTCCTTTGATAAGAATGTCCTCTGCCATCCCAATTTCCAGTCGAATCCTTTTCATCTGACCAGCTGCTTCCTTCTTTGCCCAAAGCGCTGCAACAGTTGCCGTCAGGGATCAGTCATAGCCGCAGCTTAGAAACGTGCCGCTACTGACATGGTCCCTTCGGGCTCCAGTGATTTCCACTAATTGCTAGTGGTTGGGCCCGGCCTCACAGCCATCCTGGGGATACCTACCCTGCTCCCCATCCCCAGGCATTCTGGCTAGGTGATCATCTAGTGCCCTCTCAGCTGAACGTCTGGCAGCTCTTGGAGGAGTCTGTCCTCCTTGTACCTTAGGGTGACAGAGTGGAGGTTCCCAGTGTCTTTCCTGCTCTGTGATCCTCTGCCAAGACACGCTGCTCTCCCTAGCGGCTACGCAAACACAGCTCAATGGAGTCGGGAGCTTTTAACGCCAAGAAGGCCAGACCAGGTCGCCTAGGATAGTAGTTTCTAGGGGCAGGGCAAGGGGAGTGGAATTTATTGGCAAACCAATAAACTTTGACCAAATTTTGGATTCTTGGGCTGCTTGGATAAAGAGAAAGGCTTTCAAGACCCTTCTGCCGTTCAGAATGACCAACATGAAAAAGAAGGTTGAGGTCGCCATCTGCAAGCCCCTAGGAATGGACATGAAGCAGCTCACTCGTCCTGCAGTGTGTGTTAGTGGCGGCCACGTTGAATACCCGTGAACACGTGGAGTAATTTCAGAACTAGCGGTACTTTGAAGAGGAATTTTAATTTGAATTCTTTTTTTATAGCCACATTGACATTTATTAATTCCTATATTTATTTTGTCAGCAAATTTATATTTCCTAAGCAAGACTTCAAGTTTTTTATTTTTATGTCAAAAGAAATTTAAAGAATTAACCAGTCATCTTCCTTCAGACAACTGAACTGAAATAAGCCATTTTCAGATTTTCTTTGGTTTCTGTGATAGGAAAGGAACACCATGAGACCTATAAACTTTCACGTGATTCTAACTTTTGAGTCTTCATGAGAGCAGATACTGGTTGCTTCTCACCTGGACAAGGATTCGATTTTGTGATTCAGGTTGATGTGAAACCTGAGCTTTTGAGTTCTTCCTATAGATTCCTTATAAATCCTAAGTAAAATAGATTTGTTTTCTTACACATCAGATTATTTTCTATCTAATATGATGACAAGCTACTTTTCGAGAGAGAAATTATCTAGAGCATACCCAGGAACCCAAAAAGGAAGGAACAAAAGCAATAAAACCCGAGGCACAGAGGCTCTGTTCATGCATTTTCCTTCCCAGAGACCTCACTCCATGTCTCCAGACACAGATCGAACATGTGCTTTGCACGTGTTAACACTTATTTTTCACTACGCTTTCATGAGGTGTAGGCACTGTTCTCTACCCCCATTGTACAGACAATGAAACTGAGGCACAGAGAAGTTAAGTAACGTGCTCAAGGTTACACAGCTGACAGGAGGGGGGACCAGGATTAGAACTCAGGCAGGTTGGCGCCAGGGGCCAAGCTCTCACCTGCTCTGCTCCCACCTCTGTCCACAAGGACTGCGGCTCGGTGCCTACTCCGCGGAGGCTGCGCAGCCTGCACACTCAACCTTGACCAGAGGTTGGCATGTTGGCAACCTGAAGTGACTGCTGGTTTTTGAAAAAGAAAAATCTAGAATAAGCAGTGACAATTTTAAAATTATGAGCTTATGTAGTATAATCAACTCTACAGAAATCAGTAAGCCCTGACGTAAACACAGATGTTTTTTAGCTTAATTGATATCATTAGTGATGATGAGCAGTCAGTAAGAAAAACTGGATTATCTTCAGGATACTTTGCTGAAGAAGGAACAGAAAAGCACTCACTTTTATAAACCTTTCTGAATGAAGATATCAATAAATAATAACTTCGGCACGTGTAGGGGTGAATGCATGGAAGACTTTGGACACAATCCCCTTTATCCTGTTCAGTCCACCTAAATAAAATTTTAAAATAGTAAAATTTTTTAAAATTAAGCTTAGGTTTATGGTTAGTTAACAGGAATTATCAATAACCTTCCTTCTGTATATTTTCTTTATTTCTTTTTAGTGAGCTAACACAAATGCACATTTAAAGAGTAGGCTCTTACAGGCTCTGACCCGAGCCAGAGGTGCCTTGAATGTCCTCTGCAGAGAGCAGTGTCAGGTTTGCCATAGATTGAAACTCCTAAGGGAAAGGTAGGCAGGTATTCAAATGGCAGAGAATAGACACTGCATAGCTTTTAGGTCATAATTCAGTTCAGTTATCTTTCGAGTGCCTGTCAGTATTCTGTGCTTAATAATGACGATTATAAAATGAATTATGTTTTTTAACTTTGCTTTTTCTTTAAATCTTAATGATAACATAAGAGTAATTGTTTAAATGTCTTCTCAGCTTCTCGGTGAACTACTATTAGATAGACACAACTTCACAATTATGACAAAATACATCAGTAAACCTGAGAACCTCAAATTAATGATGAACCTTCTACGAGACAAAAGTCGTAACATCCAGTTTGAGGCCTTTCACGTTTTTAAGGTAGAGTACTAAAACCATAAACAATACTTTCCTCCAGAGTTGTTAATCTCCTTTCATTTACAAATTACTGAAATATTATTAGCCTCATTTTGGTAATCTGAGTGATACAGTTCAGTCAGTTGTCATGTCTGTGTGGTACAGCATTTGAACAGAAAGACTCGGAAACAGGGCATAGCATTGGATTTGGGAGCAAGGAAGTTTATTTATAGAAGAGTGTCATTTATCTTCAGCATAGAGGATTATTAATCACAAAACAAAAGCATTTATTAATGCTTTCCATAGAGGTTTTATTCTTAAAATCCAATCTGACCTCCTGTGCTCAGAAGTAATTTCTGCCCATTTTATTCTAAAATCAAAATCTATGTTTAATACTAACCACTGTGTTTCAGAGCTGGCAGAATGAGTTTGTCGGTCCCATTCGTGCTAAAACATGTAATTGTTATTTTTTCTCCGAAGTGTAAAATAAGGTCTTCTAAAACAAAAACTAGTTACCTTGACTTCACCACCTGCCCCAGGACAGCATTGGATTGTGCTTTTGTGTGCTGTGACTACAACTCAGGTTTCTCTTTGTGTCTTGTTCTTCCTCTGTGACTTATGTGGCTTTCTCTCCATGCAGGTGTTTGTAGCCAATCCTAACAAGACACAGCCCATCCTAGACATCCTCCTCAAGAACCAGACCAAACTCATAGAGTTCCTCAGCAAGTTTCAGAATGACAGGACCGAGGATGAGCAGTTTAACGATGAGAAGACCTATTTAGTTAAACAGATCAGGGATTTGAAGAGACCAGCTCAGCAAGAAGCTTAATTTCCAATAAACATCTAAAATATTAAATCCAAATTCAGCGTTTGCTGTTAGCTATTCAGCATCAGGCACTCTTATCGATTCATGAGGAACATTACTGCTAATCTGCTGTTAAGTGAACGGTTTTTCATTTTACCCTTTTGTTTTTCAGTCCAGGTCGGAGATCGTAGCTGCTGCCGCTTGCACACTAGGGCACATGTGGGCTTTTTCTTGATCTTTGTGTCATTTCAGAATTCAAAGACTCCTTTTGCTACAGGAGTTCTGAACACAGCTGGGTTCATGAAGACAAAAGTATAGATGAGAGTGTCGTTTAGGGAAGAGGGCATTGATGTCATCAGATTAAACCTATATGTTCGCATTCATCTTTGTTGATGATCTGAGCGCAGTGTGGCATGTGCACACCTGGTATCCTTGCGTCAGATTGTGCGTCTTCGCTGAAGGAAATCAGAGGGGAACTGTATCCAGGATGTGAGCTTTTAGGGCAGATGAAGTTGACATGCGAATAAATTGATACTGAAACTTAGCAACTTCTCAAAAGTGTGAAGCTTCGTATGGAAAATGTATATATGCTTTTCACAGCTTTCTAGAATTTTTTGACATTTGATTTTCTTGAGACTTGTAAACCTGGATATCTTGAAGGGTATTCGTTAATTTTACTTTTTGAAGGTATTTTGAAACAGTAGAGCTAGCAACACCTTGCATTTCATTTCAGCACTGCTTACAGGTTTCTTTTGTATATAATTCTTAGAATGCTCATTTCTTTTAAATGGTTTAATTTGTACAGCAGAGGAATGTTATTGTAGTAGTATGTAACTATTACCTAATACTGAGTTTTTGCAAAAAAAAAAAAATGAATGCTCAGATGTAATTGAAATACTTCAGATCTCATGAAAATGCTGATTTAACACTTAAGTATCACAGCATTAAAAGAAAAAAAGGAAACCAATCCTTTGTATTCAGTTACCTAATGGGGTGCCATCAACAAGCTGAAATGCAGCCCTGGAACTCAGTCAGCCACACTTTCCTTCATAATATTGGCCTTATTCGTTTAAAATGAGTTAGGAATTTGCCAGATCCATGAATGATAGAGATTATGCTAAATTAATGCTGATTCTTTGTGTGTGTGTGGGAAACCTCTGTAGAGCACCTTTGCTTTCTTAGAGTAAGTAATCCAGTACAATAGTTGTGAAACTGAATAATTAAAACTTTGGCTTCTCTTAGGAAAAGAAGAGTTCCTAGTCATAGGTGTCCTATGGGGAAATTTATTTTTTTTAATGTCCTGTTCCTTAATGCTGCAAATTATCAGTATTTACAAAGTAACTGATTTTGCACCACTTTTTTGTTACTGTGACCACGGCAGAACAATGTCTCCTAGACTCTATCTATGTAAAGTTATTAGAATGGTATCTGTTCATCTTAGTGATACGAAGATCACAACTAACAACTTACAAATCAGAGTTTGCCAGTTCAAATTCAGCATGGCTATAGCTGATTAAGAAATTGATATAATTACTCTTTGCTAGCCTCTCTTACTAATTGAATTATTTATCAGCCAGTAAAATGAGCCTCCCAATTGATGTTTCAGCAGGTTTTAAAACCTCCTTCAAAGAACACCAGTTAAGAAAATAACTCCAGAAAATACAGACATTTTATTCCATTTAATTAAAATGGCAGTCTACATTACAATTGGTTTTCCTGAGTCTGTCTTTAACAGAATCTGCGTGAAATAATTCATGTTTTTCTACTGAAAGTAGGGAAAGCAATCTAATTTCCCTGAAAAGAAAATCTCGAGTGTTTAGGCAGGCAGACTTGGCCGTGATGTTGCATTCTGGCTCTTACAGCGTCGTGCTGTGTGCATGGAATTAGTGTGAAAACATTGATGACACCAAGTGGAAGAAATGTCTCCTTGCCAAGCTAGTTCTTAGAACTTAAACAACAAAACAGCTTCCACTTTGGCAATTGTGTGGTAGCACTAGAGCCTTTTACATGGAAGACAGTGAGGGGTGCAGTGTGTCAAAGAAAACAGTAATGTGTTACTATTTTGCATTGGAATCTGAGGGTAGTTAAGACTTTCTGGGTTTTGTTGGTAAACAAAGCAATGTGAAAACATTCAAAATTGAAAAATCACATTTGAAATTATCATTTAATATATTCATATTATCAAAACTATTATACTGGAAGTGTTTTCTTTTTGTGTTATAAAGGTTTAATTTTACATAAGGCAGTTACTTAATGTGATTTTTTAACCCTTAAAAAAAAGTGGAGATGTATACATTTGTTAACAATGCCATGAAAGCATTTTCTTTCTCCTGAGGAAAAGTGAATTTCTTATCAGAATATCTGGCTGGCCCTGTAATTTAAATTAAAATAAAATTTTGGAGAAACAGCATTGTCTGTCTTTATGATGCATTTTAGACAGTTTCATTCTTGTCACTGTGAACAGCGCTCAGGAGACACAAGCATGAATGTTGTCGCATGCCGGAAAGGAAACAGTTAACTACACTCTTTTTCCCTGATCAGGGTTTTGTATGACAGAAGCAGTTTCACTTGTCTCGCCGCCCCATGCTCCCATGCTCCTGTTTTCTCACCCCTCGTAAGTATCACCATGCCTTTTATTAGCGCCACTTTCTAGTCCATGACATTTGAGCAGTAGATCCATCCTTTCTCTCGGGTTCCGTGACCCGTTATTATTAACACTCCCAGGCAGAACTAACGGGCTCAGCAGGAGCATTTACAGGTTACGAGAGTGAAACGGAAACGAAGGTGAGAGCGGCGTGGGAGCTCGGAAGAGAACTCTTGCACCTGAAAGAACGTCCGCGTCCATTGTCTGTCTGCCCAGGCACCAGTGGCTTGTAGTGCACAGCCCTGCCCTGATTCTGTTCTAACCCCGTCAGTGAGTGCGATCTTCATTCTCTAGGGCGAGGGCAAGGGACGTTCTCTTGCCAAAAACACTTCATCTGAATAACAGCGTCTTATTTGTTACCATTTCTGCCAGGCAGTTCAATCTACTTGTATGTCCTAGTTCCCCAAAGATGAGAGGGTCCCATTAAGTCAGCTTGTGACTTTGCCACTTCTGAGGGTGACCACACTGAGGTCTAGACTCTTGCTTCAGCTCAAATTCTACCTCCTACCACAATCACCAGTCAAACGTTCTCCTCCCCTTGCCAAAATGCCGCAAACTGTCCAGCCTCAGGCTGCTCAGGGGTAACGTAATTCTTACCCTGCCTTCCTAATTGATAAGGATCAAACAGGATCACAAGAACGCTCCCTGAGGGCTGCAATGCTCGATGCCTGGTTCATTCTGGAGGCTAAGGCCACTCCAAGGTAATGAGAAGTCTCACGTGAGAATTTGCCAAAGATGTCCTACCGAGGAACAGAGGACAGGGACAGCCCGGAACACACTGCCCGTCAGTTGCTCCTGGGTCTGTGAGGTGTGTTCTCCCCAACCATTTCCGTGTCCTTCCACATCTCCCAGAGCCCGGTGCCCATGCGCTTGCCATCTGGCTTCCGAAGGCGTGACAGACAAGGCAGGATTCTCCCCACGTGGCAGACTCGGCGCTGCTGGCTCCCCGCAGAAAGACCAGGAGCAGCCTGACCTTTCCACCGCGCACGCCTCCGCCACCGCGCACTCGCAACCCAGGAGGCACTTCATCAGGACATGAGCTTTTAACCTCCAGGGACTGTGTCCCCCGTGTTCCCGCTGACCTGAGGGTGGTGGTAGTTGCACGAAGCCGCATCACTTCACGGTTCGCACGAGGCCTACAGCGGCCTCTGAGCCTTGCTTAAGTCTGGTTCCCTGTGTGGGCACCAAGTGACAGCTGGCAGCCCGGTGCCCCTCCCTCTGCAGCTGGAGGTAGGTCATGTTCCACCTGACGGCTGTCCCCAGGGAGCTAAATCCCCAAAGATGGTCACCCCCAGATTTCTCTGGAGGAGACTGCGTCCTCTGCAATTGATTAAACATTTTTTCCTAGGTAGCTCTTCAGAACGACCTTAGAGATTTCTGCAGAAGGTTGACACTTTGTCATTGTTCTTCCTAAGATTGACAGGTTTTACAGACGAACTTTCCCTGTTCCTTGGTATTAAATTTTTATCACCTAAATCTTAGTGTTCCGTGGAAATAGCACAATCTGGCTCTAAGTTCCAGTAGCTGGGTCTCCTGTTGGGCTGAGATGCAAGCGGTGTCCAAAGGCGGCAGCAGGAAGAGCCACAAGCCACCTGGGGAGGCTTTCAGCCCAGGGGAAGCTTCCAGGCGAGGCTGCACCCCAGCTAGCTCCCTCTTTCTTCCCCAGTGGGCTGGAGCTTGAAGACACGAAGTCCCCTCCAGCCCAGCCTGGTCCCAGGGAGCAAAGGCCTCTTCACGCTGCTCATACACATTCATGGGACCTTTGCATGTCCCCATCGTACAAAGTCCTCACCTTTGTGAAGAAAATGGAGGCGAGGGTCCCACTGCGTCCCTCCTAACCCAAGGGGTGCCTTCTCAAGCTTAGTCAAATCTCCGTGTTGTCCTGGGCTTGCCTCAAGCCGTCAGGGACCTGCTGGTTTCTAGGACCTTGCTCTTTTGGAGATACCGGGGGTGGGGTAGCGTTGGGTGCTGACCTGCATCATCCGAACACACCGAGAGGACCCTGTGAGTGCCCCATGCCCTATCCTTGGCGCCCACTCCTGCTTGCTTTAAACCCCTGTGACTGCCTCAGCAGTCCCAAGTGCAGGAGCAGCTGTCCCCAGCAGCCGCCTTCAGCTGATGACGATGACGGTGGCTGGTGGGTAAATACCCCAGTGCCTCTGCCTTCCCGAGTCCACAGCAGGGCTGGGCTCCGATGCCCACCGTACTACCCAGCTTGCTGCAGGCCCTTCTTCAGATTCTCTCCCTTCCCTAGTGCACGTCCCACCGTGTACTAGTGTTTCCCTGGATCGAGTCCCAAATAAATGACCAGCACTGGAACCCTTGTCCCCAGGTCTGTTTCTGGCGAAACCCAAAGTAAGACATGCTGGTTCCTTCTCACGCAGAGGCAGGAGCAGCCAAACCTGGTGAGGGGCCCCACAAGATAGCAAAAGATAGCAAAAGAGTGCCGCCTGCCACTCTGGAAGCATCCTTCCTGTCCCTCTTGCCTCAATATTTAGGAGAGACTGTGGCCACCATGTGTGCATCGAAGCCTGGCACCAGGGCCTGAGTGGCCCGGCACAGCAAGGCTGCTCTCAACCACCGCTTCTGCCGCCTGAGGCCCGTCCTGGGGCCCAGACACAGGCCTGCCACCCCCAGCCCGAGGCCCCGTCTGCCCATGCCTCCACATCTCATCTTTGCAAAACAGCTGGATGGGACGCACCCTCTGCTCTCAAATGGTTCTTCATGGTCATCAAACGGGCTAGCAAAACTAGAAAACCCCCGATCCTCTCACGCTCTGCCTCTTTCCAAAAACGACGTTTTCGAAAGGTGCAGTATAAACCTATAGAATGACTGCATAATTGGGAATAGGGGACAAAGAATGTGATGGGGACCAGTGAAGGGGAGGCTAGGGCCTGTCTGGAGTCCGAGCCCGCCCGAAGGTACTGGAACAGCTCGGGGACGCCTGGAGGGGCCCCTTTGCCTGCCCCGACTCCGCCAGCTTTTCCTGCGGTCAACTCGCTTTCATTCTTCAGAGCATCCACTAGGTGGCAGCAAAGCCCTTTGGTTTTAGCAGGAGCTGCGCCAGGGGGCGGCGCGTTCCTGGCGCGAACGAAAGGACCCGGAGACCCCAGGAGTGTCGTGTGCCGCGGGCGAGGGGGAGCCAAGAGTCCTGGGCACCTTTCTGAGCAAAAAGGTGGAAGTAGTCAACGGAGGTTATAAACAGAGAGAGAGGGAGGGGCAGATGTACAGGGAGGGTTGTTGTTTGTCAGTAAGCTTTATTTTTTGGAAGAGTTTTAGATTCACAGAGAACGTTGCAAAGACAGCAGAGATATCTCATGCTTCACGCTCAGTTCCCCCTGTTATCAACATCGCGCATTACTACGGCACATTCCTTATAGCTAATGAACCAGTATCAGTGCATTGTTAGGTCCATGCTTAGATTTCCTTAGTTCTTCTCTGCACCACGCTCATTTAGTCCCGTCCCTGACGCCTTCCTCACGACGGCAGCGTGGAGACGTACGGACCAGGTGCAAGCCGTCCCGGATTACAGACCCGCGCTTACGAACGGGCTCCCGAGCCTTCCCATAAGGATAGTTTATAATTGAATGGTTAATAATCCGGGAACTAGTTTCTTCCGCACATGTCAGCAAACCCGCGAGCCGGTGCCGCGTCCTTACACTAGGGGCTGTGTCATTGTTTACACGGTCGCTAACGCACAGCAGCGCTTTCGTCTTAACGTTTTCATTCGGTTGCGCGAGTCTGTTTACCCTGATGACCACCCGAAGGGAAAGTGCACGGCCAGTCCCCGTGAGCCTGCAGCGAAGAGACGGGTGATTTCAATGGAAACAAATGATTAAGCGTTGGGAGAAAGTCCAGATGCCGTCGTTCTCTGGGAAAGCGTTGGGCTTCAGTCACTAGACCATGGGGACCACTATAAAGGATAAAGTGAGAATGATCAAAGACGTGAAAGGCATGCGTCAATGAGAGCGTCAGTTATTACTAAGCAACACCAATCATAGGCCCAAGGGATTTATTTCCATTGACCCCACAGACAAAAACGTACTCAGAGCGTGCCCCAACGACACCTGCTCCTGTCTGCCTCTCCCTCTGGGACCTGGTGTGTTAGCAATTCCCTTAGACCGTGGGGAAACATTGTACAAACGGGGATCCCTGTTCCCTAACGCTGCTTCCATCCATGAAGCAGCATCCTGGCCGCCCAGTTGGAGCCGGGGATTAAGGCCAATTGGTTGGACAATTGTCAGGCTGCTTTTTTGGCCCCTGTCTACCATAGACAGTTCTCTGATGTCGCTGGCAGTGCATGGTGGCTACCTCCCTGGGCAGTAAAACAGCTTTTAATAATCCAGTAATGTGTGGTCAATGTTTAATTTTCTTGTTCTCAGAGGTAAGGGACCCTTGTTTCTTCCCAACAGCTTTATGGGTATGTACCACCATAAAGGCACATTTAGATCAGTCTGGTTAGTGCAATTAACTTATTCTTCTGGGCAGACGTCCGGGGTAGGGCTTGTGTCTCAATTGCCTGTTGGCCGGTGACCACAGCACCCCAGCTTTGCACCATCCCTGTTCCATGGAGCCGCTTCCATCCGCAAAGAGATCCTCATCTGGGTCTGACGGGGGCTGCTCAGTCAAATCCGGGGGATTGGGATCCACTTGGTCGATAATCCGAATATGATCACAGAATGGGGAATGGGAGTCCACAGGCGGCAAGGGGGCTGGACTTAAGGTGAGCACCACCTTCAGGGTTGCACTAGGATTAGCTAACAAAG